CATTGGTGCGTATTACGTAAGTGTGTTACATTCCTTGGGAAATCCAATAATTCACATACGGTCAATCTAATTATAGTATTTCTTTGTCCTTTTCATAATTAATTGAAGAAAGAGCTTTAATTTTTTCAGGTGGGGTGTTTTTTTTTTTTTTTCCCAAAGTACGAGACGATGTATGCATTCAGAAAAAATATTCGATCCCCTTGAATCAGGTTGAAATTCTTTGTTGGCCAGATAATGCCAAGTTATGTGTGCCATGGAATCTGCAACCTAATTAAACTTTAATCATTATCCTTTTCACATGTGCGTCCTGTTCAAAGGATACGGAGAATTTCATGTTTCGGATTGGTTGAATTCCAATATTTCACAATATGGCACAATTTATTTGACGCGAATCGAATGAATTAAGTAAGGTAAGTCATGCTTCCACGCCGAATGAGATCACTGGTTTAGTTTTCCGCCTCATTACCATGTAAAAAAGGTATCATTTCCGTTAAGGCGAATGAAAATGGTATTTTCATGTGATCAAAGCATTCGGTGTCTTGGTTATCATGTCCAACGAGAAAATAGTTGTGAAGAAATAATATAAAATCGCCATGACCTGGAACATCATAGATATTGCGGACGGGAGGTACTGTATTTATTGTATTCATCGTTTAAAGATATTTTTACGTTTACAAAAAATATTGAGCAAATATTCTTGATCGTTCGATCGTCTTCATAGTAATCTTTTTGGTCCGGTTATTTACTGCATGTATTATTAATTACATTTATAAATTTTCATGAAATTTGCGCTTGACATTTTCGTCAGTTTGAAGATATCGGATATTGATATTTTAAACGAGGTAAAAGTAATATCTTTTCGGTTATACAGTAAATGAGATACTATATACAGTACAATAAACAACTTCCCTAATCACCAATTACCGATCACGTGACATGGCGCGGGATGATTTCAGATCGCGTGTTTTATCTAAAGAATCGTGCATTCTCATTGATGCAAATCCATAAAGATTAACAGCCAAGTTTGGTTTGCTTCAAATGAACAAGATTCAAGGTAAATGCATTTCAACAAAAACACAAGTTGTATGGAATTCCAACACTCAAGTGTTGTTATCATATTCTCAACCAATTTACCGACTTTGGCTTACGATTTACAATAGAATTTTTTGACAAGAAGCACACAACAGAACTTTTTGACAAGAAGCACACAACAGAACTTTTTGACACGCAACAGAACTTTTTGACAAGAAGCACACAACAGAACTTTTTGACAAGAAGCTCACAACAGAACTTTTTGACAAGAAGCACGCAACAGAACTTTTTGACAAGAAGCTCACAACAGAACTTTTTGACAAGAAGCATGCAATAGAACTTTTTGACAAGAAGCACGCAACAGAACTTTTTGACAAGAAGCTCACAACAGAACTTTTTTACAAGAAGCTCACAACAGAACTTTTTGACAAGAAGCACGCAACAGAACTTTTTGACAAGAAGCCCACAACAGAACTTCACACCGTGTCTATCATATGTCGACCTCTGGGAGGGGGTCATGTTTTCAACGCCGAGGTAAAATCTTTATGTTCTAATAAGCATCAATCCCTACCTCTTTGAAATAATAATTATCGAGACGATGTGACATTTTCTTTTGATAAACCGTGCGATCCTAAAGCACCTCAAACGGGATAACGTGATACGCTTGGAATAACGAATTCTCAAACGGTCCGTTAAAATCAAATAATCGTATCCGGTAATGCCACCATAATAATTTACAAATATGTAACAAATGAATTTAATTAAGTAATATCTATGATACTTTGTATTTTCCTTATCATCCTTTGTTAATTGTTATCATAACTGTTAGATAATTAATTAATTATCTTTTTCTTAACAATAATTTTTATGGAAAAACCATTAAAACCACATTTACAGTATGTTCATTACCTTGAACCACTAGAAAAGATCGATTCCTCAGTACGTGAGAATTGAATTACTCAGCTTCATTAATCAATCAATCAATTAATTAAATTGACACACTAGATAAAGAGAAGTGATTGATAAAGAAAGCATTCTCGACCGATCGGGTAAACTACTACCATCTTGGTCGTGTGCGACTCATTGTACAACTAATTAAACGAGGATAGTTTCTTGATTATGTGTTTTTTGGGTTTGGTACGACCCAAATTTTTTGGGTGATTGTGTGAACACTGATCGTCATACCGGGTACAATATCAAATGGTACAATACGCCCTCCTTATTATTTTCGAGACAATTCATTTGTTTCATCTATTTTTATCCGATCAAAGCTTAATCAACAAATATAAACACCCGAAAAAAAGGTAAAAGAATTTTATTGAAAAAAAAAAAAAAAAAAAAAAAAAAAAATGTTGGAACCCGATCAATCCTGGTATTTTGCTGTGTGGTTATTGGGCATGCTATCACTGGTAGGGATTTATTTGTCTAAAATTTAAAAATCATTTTTGCACGTATCATTCACCCTTCCATTTGTTTAATTTAATGCAGGTGCATCTTCATAACGCTTTCGTTTCCATCTTCTCACGCAGTGCTCAAAAAGACATTGAATCGAAAGTCACTAAATTCATCTTTAACTTTAGTGGAATGCTTGCGTTTATTTGTAAATTTGCCTCCGTCGGAACCCCCAGCAACGTTACTTCACTTGGGTGTAAAACCATACTTTACACTGCAAGCCTGGCCAATTTGATTTACGGGGGATCTTTGAGCATATTTTTGTTACGAAGATTGAAGCAATTTGAAATGGATTATGACCAATTGATTGGTCTCGTGTTGGTAGCCGCAAGAACGGCGACTAATGTACGTATCCTTCCATTCGATGCAACTTTCAACTGTCCATTCGGTGCAAGATATTCACACTGACGGTATTTATTTCTTTTCACGGAATTAATATAACAGATCACGCATATAGTATTCCTCGGCCCCGAAGCGCACGTCATCACTTCTCCATATAGCCTCTATAAAACGATAAATGTTTGTGTATACAATTACGATACTACATTCAGACCGCAATTAGCCACCACACTTGTTGACTTTGCGATCGACCTATACGTCGCGGTCCGATTGGTCCCGTCCTTCAGAAAGACAGGTCGCGATGTACGGACGGAGATCGTGCGCTGGGATTTTCTCCGTTTGCTTGTGGCTCTCGGACAAAACTCAATTGGGCTAGCCCTTGTGTTCCTGACCCGAACCACATCACCTTCTAATTACGACGAAATTGTGTCCCAAAACTTTTTCCAATGCCTTGCATTTGTACTGATGTCCTATGTGGTAACGATTGATGTTGAAATTGTCGAAGACAAGAATCCAAGGAAACCAAAAGAACCGGGTGATCAAGAGACTCCTGATAACCAAGAATTCGGTTTATCCACACGACCGAACTCCATGTCTAGCATCGAAAACTACAAGTATACTGTGCCCAAGAAGAGGTATTCCCTCTATGAGTGGGCCAACATAATCTTGGAATTTTATCGTGAGGGCAGTCATGCACGAGAATTTGAACAGAAAGAATTAAAAGATATTATCGAAGGACCTCTGGATGACTTGGGAGGGGAACAGTGATTTAGCAACATTTACTTCAAAAAATAGCGTAGACGTGTATTATTTTTATCTTGTACAAAAAAAAAATGTATTTATTTTAACTATTTATTTATTTATTTATTTATTAATATACAGCACATTGTAAATACAGTATATTAAAAAAGATTCGCGAATCCCAGATTTACAAATAAACATCTAGCTTCTCCTTGTTTCTCGCGTGTGCATTGAAACAAATGAAAATCCACAGAAAACAAATGCCATAATCAGAATCAAACATATCTGTGACTGTGAAACGAGTTTTTTCGGACGAACAATCATTAGGCTATTTAAATCACGTAATATTATCAACGAAACGTTACATGGTGCTATCCTTGGTCAAAACAACAAACTTGTGACAGTACATTTTACGTGCATGGCTTATCATTTGGTTGATATTCTATTTATTAATTTGAGTGGAAATATTATCGATAATGACGTATACGGTACGGTATCCGATGATGATTTTTTGTTTATTTAAATAATATGAAATTCGAATACACACTTTTTTTTTTTAATAAAATCATAGGTTTTCATTTTATTTTAAAGCATTCTGATTACACGTGCTTTTTTATTTTTTATAATTGAAGATGAATAATCAGTTATATGCTATTACAAACCTTGATCAATTATATGCTATTACAAACCTTGATCGATTATATGCTATTACAAACCTTGATCAATTATATGCTATAACAAACCTCGATCAATTATATGCTATAACAAACCTTCCGATGCAATTTATTGTTTTTATAGATCAAAATATTTGAAAGTGTTAATTTCTCCCGCTTCCGTGGCCGTGAACTAAAAAAAGACATTATCGGCGATACTCAGCTGTTGTTCATAGGAAATATTATCTATTTATAGCAAAATATGAATTTACAACTATATGAACGAGTATATATCGGGAATGTCTAGATAATATCGTACAACTAATGTTACGGGGAAAGTGGACCACTGAGGCAACCCATTCCATTGTATTCTCACAATCAATCATTCAAATAAAGTATAATATAGTTCAAACCTTAAATACATCGCGTTGCTTGCGACCGATAGAGAAATAATTTCTGGAAAAAATTTGGCAAAGAGAAAGTTAGTAAGTAGGTATATCGTCTCAAGATTTACCGTACGACACAAGAAATAACCCGAGATATCGACGATTTCAAAGTGCACTAGTCTTTTTTTTTTTAAAAAAAACAAAATAAATAAATAAAAAGTTGTTCGCGAAGTGAACACAAAATACAACGCCTTTTTACTATTCCAATAAAATGCTCAAAAACGCAAAATTATTGATACCCCAAGAGATAATGGCAAAGAAACAGAAACTTATAGAGAAAGATATTTCATTTTTATACTTCGAAAAAAGTTTAAAAAATGGGAATATCTCCAATCTCTATTTTATATGTATTCTATCTTTCCGAGTGTTGAATGTTTAATCTCGCTTGTATTTGGCATTATATTTCTAGTGTCAGGAAATTTTGAGATAAATCCGGATGTTAATAATTATATCTCGACATCTTTTTCGGGAGTCTTAAGTCTTTCCGGTATTTTTGGAACCCCTGTGTTTCTTGAAAAACTCATTTTCACGAGTAAATTAGAAGCAATGGATGCATTATATACCGAAGAAGATTCCTTAAACATCCCCCGAAACTCGAAACAATGGAGAATCAAAAATCTGGAGGACAGCATAAAGGAGCTTGACAATATAATTCAGAAACTTAATTCCGTGGAATATAGACGTGGCCTTATTACTTACTTTATGCAAAATTTGATACCCATAAAAAATGAAATGATGAAAAGGAAATCTGAAAAAGAAACGCTTACGGGGAAAGATAAAGTGGAAGCTACTGAAGAAGATACGTGGAAAGAAAAAGACATCAAAGAAAGTACGTGGAAAGACAAAGATATCTTAGAGAATCCGAACAATCAAGCGAATAATAAATCTCCAGAATTCGATTACATTCAACATTTATCATTGCCATACGCACGTCATGCCATGATGACAAAATTTAAAAGGATTGTAGAGATGAACGAAATGGAAAAAAAAGGAGAGATCGATGAAGAAATTTATCGAATAGAGTTATACTTTTTAAA